GCTTCTTCTCTACAGTCTGTCCCGAAGCCTCTACCGGTCCGCTCTCCGCGGCTCCTTCCGTGCTTCTTCTCTACAGTCTGTCCCGAAGCCTCTACTGGTCCGCTCTCCGCGGCTCCTTCCGTGCTTCTTCTCTCGTGGCGGGAGAGGCACTCACTTTTATAGGGGAACAGTGGCCAATCAGTTCAAAGCGCGCGATGCGGGCTGATTGGCTAACATCAGTTGTTGCTAGGCAGACTATCTTACAGAGCGGGTTGTTTACCAAGCAGGAAGCAGGAGATAAGCGCCATCTTAGCACACTCGATGGGAGGGGTAATCTAGCTCAGGCTTTGCTCTTTCTTACAGGCCTCACGTCCGCCAAGTAAGGCGACCGGGCTCGGCCGCAGCTCCCAACATCTCCCCCTATTTTATTTTACAAGAACGAGCGCATCGCAGCCCGTCCTGGATCGAGCGTAGAGGCCTATGCCCTGTATCTGAGGCCCACCGCAGGCCTTTGGGTTGGAACCCGGGTGGCCGTCCCAGGGTCCACCAAGGCCTTGAGGCCCTCGTCCTTTTTTCCAGGGCCAGGGATAGGTCAGACGGAACCTGGGTGCACATAGGCATACGCTCACGTCTCTCCTTATGATCCCCTTTGGAGAGGCATCTAGATTCGGGGCGGAATCTAGCAATCCAGCGGTTTTCGTGCGCCATGGGGTAGGGCCTGGCTTAGGTTGAGTCATGCTGGGGAGGCACACTCTTACCCGTCATTGACTCACCCACCCTGCTACATGTTGTTGTCTAGGGAGGAGAATGTGGGAAGCCTGTCACTTTTAAACGCGGTCGTAGGCCATGCGAGCGAGCCATGCGTATACAAGGGTAGCACATAGGGGAGCAAGCCGTTCCAGGCCCCCAAAAAGGGATTGTCCTGCAGTTCTTTTAAGGCTCATCTTGTTGTTGGGTCTGCGGTTGGCCTCTGGTGGAACAGGCCTGATCTTCAGTCGAGGGACTTGTCGCACGCGTCAACCTCTCTGGGACCCACAGTGGTTCTCGTCCCGGTCCCTGCGGAAAGACACAAACCACGCCTCAGCTTCCTCTTTTGTATCTCTGCCCTCCTTGACGGACCCTTCTCGGGAGCTTCCTGACTGTGCCTGTTCAAACACCTTGCGTACTTCTACAAGTTCTTGAGAGCTCCCCCCGTAACTACCCTCACTCTTTAGGCACGCGTGTATCATTTCCCACAACGGACGAGCAGAGACCGAAGCTCTACCCTCCCGTTCTGCTAGGGAAAGGTCTCTGCCCAGCTTTTCCCAGGAGGGCAGGTTTAAGTGCCCTATAGGCAGAAACCAGGGAGCAAAGCTGTCAATTTCTGCAAGGAAATTTTCTAAAGTCTTACGCCCCACCTTGAGGTCCTTGGACTTTAGGAGTCTCCGAAGGACCAACACCAAGGCTGTGTATCTTTACTTGGCATGTTTCCCATTTTTAATATATCTTCTGTTATTTTTACTTCTATGTTTATGTTTTACACTCTTTTATTACCTTAAGTTCTGGTGTTATGTTTCATAATCACTGCGTGAGGCCCAAGAAACCGCCACTTACGCGTGAGGTTGAGAGGAGTCTAAAAACCCTGTAGGTGCGCGCCACCCAGGGCCCAGGTTTATCCTCTACTCACCTGTCCTGCAGCACTGTGTTGGAGACTGCTGTCCACTGCCACGTCTCAGGGTTGATCAGTTCCCCGTATGGGCCACCAGTTGTCGGTGTCGCTCCCGGCCGGCAGGAACAACACACGACAAGATCTGGCAGTGGCTAGGCTCTCTTTATTTTCCTTCTCCGCACAGTCTGCCCCGGGATTCTTCCCGGCCGAAGCCTCTACCGGTCCGCTCCCCGCGGCTCCTTCCGTGCTTCTTCTCTACAGTCTGTCCCGAAGCCTCTACCGGTCCGCTCTCCGCGGCTCCTTCCGTGCTTCTTCTCTCGTGGCGGGAGAGGCACTCACTTTTATAGGGTAACAGTGGCCAATCAGTTCAAAGCGCGCGATGCGGGCTGATTGGCTAACATCAGTTGTTGCTAGGCAGACTATCTTACAGAGCGGGTTGTTTACCAAGCAGGAAGCAGGAGATAAGCGCCATCTTAGCACACTCGATGGGAGGGGTAATCTAGCTCAGGCTTTGCTCTTTCTTACAGGCCTCACGTCCGCCAAGTAAGGCGACCGGGCTCGGCCGCGGCTCCCAACAGCAAATGGCAGACTTTCCTTCTTCAAGGCTGAATAATATTCAATACGTGTAATTTGAAATCATTTTTATAGGGGGCTGGGGATTTAGCTCAGCGGCATAAGTGCCTGCCTTGCAAGCAGGCGGTCGTGAGTTCGATCCCCGGTACCGAAAAAAATGAAAAAGACAAAAAAAAAAAAAAAAAGAAATCATTTTTATAATTCATTATTTCATCATTGAATATGTGTTATTCCAAAGCTTTACTCTTGACAATAATGCTGCAATAGTTGTGGTAATGTAAATGGTTTCTTCCATATAGTGACTTTTAGTATCATTTAATTATGCATTTAGAAATGAAGAAATAATCTCCACAGGCTGATGGGGAGGGAAAAGGGGATGTTTTTCTTAACATCTTAATGTACTTTATGTGGCAATGTTGTTTTTAATTTTTGAAGAAGTCTCATAATGTTTTCTGTGTTGACTGTACAAATTTTCTTTTTCAGCAACAATATACAAGGATTTACTTTTTCTCGCATTCTTTTCAGCATTTATGTTTTAAAAAATCCATTCCCACAGATATAAAGTGATAGCTCACAGTGGCCTTTATTCATATTTTTATGACTAGTGATATTGAACCATTTTTCTTTGTTACTCATGCTTTAAATATGTTCAATAAAGTCATTTCCAAGACTAAGTTGTGCATTTTTCCCTAGTTTTTCTTGAGGAGTTCTACAGCTTCATGTTGAGTGTTTAAATATTTAATATATCTGGAGGTTACAATCATCATGGTAACAAAAGGAGACCAAATAAATTTGTTTTGGGTGTAAATATTAGGTTTTCCAACACTTTGTCATGAACACATCACACTTTCCCTACTATAGTCTTGATGACACTGCTAAAAATTAGTAAAAAAATGGATTTTAATGAGTCTATTTCTGAGGTTTATATTCTGTTGCATTTATCTCTGTACATGTTTGTGTGCTGAGTTCATAAATTTTTCATGATAAGTTTATAAACACTTGTGTCTTGGTTTGGTGGTTCATGTTTCTTTCATTTCCCATGTTTCTTGTTAGTTTACATCAATGTCTCTAAGCTTGATATATGTCAATATTTGCAAGACCTCTGATTTGAACAGTAGATGAGGTCTTCAGTGGTGAATTGTCCTGAAGTACTCTTGTTCTCTGTTTTCATCAGGGCAAGTCATACCTAAGTGAATCTCTTCTGGCACCTGGCCTGGTTGAATTCGTGGCAATAAGGCCTGCCTTCTAAACATTCCACCATCTCCCAAAAGTAGCACAAGTTAGCACATAAACCTTCCAACCATGCTTTATGGCAGAATTAATCCATAAGTAGGTATAGTATCTCAGGAAGAATGCGTATTTTACCTATGAGGGCTCTGCTTTTATGGTCTATCTCTATATTGCTTCATGATTTAATATGATCCAGTATATTAGAGATTTAAAACTACAGTTTTTGAAAGGGACACAGACATTAAAATCAACTGATGGTCTGATTGGTCTATGTATTTGTTTTCCAACTTACTGCTCTTGTTTTATTGAAGAGTCTTGATTCTTGTATATTGCTTCTTACCACTGCTCACCATTGCTGGTTTTCTTCTCTTATTGGGGATGAAATGCCCTTTATTAACATAATTTTTATGGCTATTATATTTCATATTGTAAAGTGTTACAAAATTAATCAACTGGTTTTATACAGTGAGACTAAAAATGAACAAAAAGATTTGCAGGTGTACTACTAATACACATTTTCATGTAATTATCTTCTTAGCATTCCTATACTTACTTTAATAAAGCTGCATTTTGTAAAATTTTCTAAAATCTGTGCTTTATTAATGTCTACGTCCTTGCATTGTGGATTGAAATATTTTACTCTCCTGTTGTGCTGAATCAAGTCTCAGTCACATTGTTGCTCCATTTTGTGATATTACACATTTCCAATTTCCATGAAGTTTTAAATTTCTACATTAGCATCTCTTTGTTTACCCCATGTTTATTGGCATAGAGTAACTGAAAACTTTTTATCTGTGATTATTTTAAGAAGACTTGGGGTAGACAGTTGACAGTATCTTTCCTAAAGTTGCTGTCAGGTCTTGCCTTTGCAAGTTACCTCATCTGAAGGCTTGCAGAATGGGATGTTTTAACTTTGTTTTCTTTTTATTCCTTGTTTAGTTTTTTTGAGACAGGGCTTCACTCTTAAGTTTGGGTGAGGCTTTACTTGTCTTGTGCTTGCAGTGATAATTCTACCTCAGTCTCTAAAGTGCTAGGCATTGGCCAATATGAGTGATGTTTGTTTCCATTTATTTATTTATTTTTTCTTTGCTTGATTTTGATACAGTGTTTCACTTTGTAGCTCTGGTTGGCCTTGAAGTCATTTTATATACCAGGCTGGGTGGACACTGATTGTCCTTCTGACTCAGCCTCCTGAATGGTGGGATTACAGCCATGCACCCCCATGCCCAACACATGGATTTCCTAACCTTGCTGTAACTTCTATTGCATATGTTTGAGAAGATTTATTTTCTTCATACAGGTGCATTTAACAGGACTGAATAATAGATTTTATAGTAAGACCCTTGGCATCAGTGACAGAGAGCATTCCAAGAGGACAATCCTTAATCAGTGTTGACAACCTACCTATGGAAATCACTCATCACTGTTTATATGACCTTTATTAACAAATACCTACAGATGCATGTGTGACTCTGTTCTATGTAGTTTGAGAGATTTGTAGGTGTCTATTTATCCAAGAAACTTAGATTCACAACTTAATTTCTCTTATTTTCCAAATGTTTATTTATAATCAATGTTTATCTGCCAAAATACAATTTTCGTGATCTTCTGAAGGTGACAGATTAAATAATAATTGTAAGTAACAAGTGACTTTCTCAGAGAAAACAGAACTTTGATTAAGGTGAACATGAAGCCGGTAATACAGAAGTGCACTTAAAACAAAGACAAGTTGATAAATATGCTCCATTTTAGGAGATTGAATGATTGGCATAAAAATTAGAAAGAGTGAAAAAGCTAAGGATGCAAATATCACTGGCAGCCAAACCTGGAAAGAGAAAGGAAACAAAGATGAGTGATGAATTTTTTTCTTTCTCAAGTTTTTAGAGACAAAACACTTTAAAAATGAGAAATAAGAACAGGGAAGTAACTAAAAATATATATATTTAAATAGATTTAGATGCATACTCTCAGTTTTAGGATATGGCAAATGATATTAATGTGCATTAAATATAAATTATATTAATAAATTATTTCCCTTTTCAATAGATTATATCATTAACTTACTAAAATTATTAAACATTTGTGATTTTAATAATGAAAAATGATGAAAATTACAATATTGCATGGCATGTCATAAGTAAAAAATTAATATCAGTTCTGTCTTAGCCTCTGAAACATTCCTGGTTTTTATATTTAGGAAACCTAACTACCATTTGTTTATCACATTTCTTGTAGGGAATAAGCAAAAATTTGTCCTAGAGCAACCACATCGTTTGATTCAGAAAAATACGAATCAAAATATAAACATTATTTTATGAAAATTTCATTACTTCAAGAAATAATTGCTCAAACTTTCCTTAGTTCATCCTCGCATGCTTGATGGGGCAGATAAAAAATGGTTCCTTTATGAAGTTTGTTATCACTGTCCAGCTTTACAAGCATGAACTTCCTGATCTGATCTTAATTTGTAAAATGGTGTCTTGGATAATGTGGATCTTTAAGTATTGGCTGGAAATGCATTCATTACATTTGAGTAGATCTAGGTGAACCAAGTGACATTTGGTGATCAACTTATTAACTGCACTTGTCCACATTTCTTACTCTGCTATAAAGCTAAGAAGATCCTCTAGGGAAAGCTTGGTTAATTTCTCTGAACTGCCTGGAAGAGACCCTGAACATAGTATTTACACACTGCATTTTGGTTTAAATGAATATGTGAAGCAAAAGTCATTTTCATTCATATTTTCACAATACTCATTTATAGGTAATGAAAAAGCTGTGTTGCAGTAAAAAAAGAGTGGAAGATGACATAGGTTAATGTTTCTTCATATACTACAAATGGACTTCTCAGCATAAGAATCTGCAAGGTAACTGATACTTAATCCCATTACAATGGCCCACAGGATATTGAAAGAATGAGTATTTCCAAGGATGAACATGCGAATGTAAATGAAAATAATAACAGTCAAGTGTGCATTTTAGTGACTGGCATGATTTATGGATATCTTATGTACTGTTATACCACATCTATAAAAAAAGTATTTTAAATTATGAGGAACCTTCATTATATTTAAAATCTGATTAAGCAACAAAACATATTCTGGAGCCTCCAAAATTCACATTAAAGACAGGTATGGCTTATTCCTACAAGACCAGATTAGTGAAAATAAGACCAAGGTGTGATGGAGATAAAAGACACACGAACAAGGTAAATATATGATTCACAGTAATGCATGACAGCAAGGTTTCTAACAATTAGTCAAGCAGAAGTCTACAAGGTATACGTAATTCAATGGTTTAGGAATAGCCCCAGTATTTCTGATGCAAAGATCACAGACCATCACACCAGTGTGTTCTTGGCAAAATAAACACATTTTGCTAAAGCAAATAATAAGATTATTTGAGTTCTTGTATCAGAATGCTAGCATTCACATCTAGGTCAGCTCCATGACTCCAGGGTAATCAATTTGAGTCTTGGAATTCTCTTGAGTAGAGCACGGTTATTTAAAGAATTCAGGACACCTCCGTCTGCCTCTACTCACACTTCATGCTCACTCACTATGCATGTTCTTGGTGCAGTTGTCTTGTCAAAGAAGAATCTGATATTATTTCTCCTGCATATGAGGTCTTTGTTACTTCACAAAACATATATGCAACCATAAATGGTGAAAGCAGGGGCTGTCATCTGTTTCAGGGGTCCCCACACTCTTGGACACAGAGTTATAGGAACTGTTCAGTCCAACAGAAGGCAAACAATGGACCCAAGAGCAAGGCTTCCTCCGTATTTATTGCTCTTCCTCACTGTTCACATTACCATCTGAGCTCCTTCACCCATCCAATCAAAAGTGCAATTATATTCTTATAGAAGCACGAATCCTGTGAAGTGCAACTGTGAGGATCTAAGTGGTGTGCTTCTTGTGAAAACCTAATGCCTGAAGATCTGAAATGGATTTGAGATGGTGATGCTTGTGCTGGAGACAGCTGCAAATTCCAGTTTATATTAGAGAGAGGTTTGACTGCACAAATACTACATGGAATCAAATAATTTCAGGGTCTTATTGAAATCCTATTAGTGACTGAGTAATTGCAATTAGGTTACATCTAGTGATAACCTTTGCATTGGCAGGCAAGTTGAGGTGACCATCTAGTTACTGGAACACAAGATCAGTGTTTGCCTGAATACCAAGTTATGATGAATTATGTCATTATATTCTAACATATATAATGCAATACTAGTGGATTAGTGCTTGAATAATTTGGAAAGCATTTCCTGCCTCAAGCCTGTCATTAACTTTCCACAAATCTGGTTCTTGGTGCCAAAAACCATTGGGAACCACTCATTTAGCATGTCCTGTACTCACCATGCTCTGTGCCTGTGCACAGGGTTGTGTTCCTCTAGTAAAGCAGTGCTTTTTAGTAGTATTTTGTAAAGGTCGTCAGAATGACTCTGTGGAATAGCACTTGCTAAACATGCATGAGGCCTTCAGATCAGACCTTAGTTCTATCCATGTAAAGAATTGTACAGCAGACTCTCAGAAGTTACAACAGTTTTTGTTAAGTTTTCCATATGACACAGTGATTGAACTTTGGTAGTTCAAGTTCACAATTTTATAATGATCTTTATTTCTTATACAAACAAAATGTTTTCTTTCTAAAATCTTTTTTACAATTCCTGAAATTTAAGGTAATATTATCTATGTTCTTTTTAGAAATATAAGCTTTTGACACAAAATATGAAATATAAACTTTTACACCAAAAATTAATAAAAAGAAATCCAGTCAAAAATGCTCCACAACAGAAAATTAAGAAATGCAGGCCCAGGTCAGATGTTCCAGAAACTGGTCTGGGTATAGATTAGCAGCATTCATACGGCTCAAATAAAATTTGTTTATAGATCTATAGTACTAAATTAAAGTTTGTGTTTCAATTTTGATTTACCTTATAAGGTCTTGGTAGATCTGGATTCTGGAACCTTGATTTAAGTAAAGCAACCATATTTAGCCCTTGTAAAAATGAACATATTAATGCCACATATTTTATTAATTGGGTCAGATTTGATGGTATAACAGCAACAGACGCTAAAATTATTAACTGGATCACAGCTGGAGCTGGTGAGAGATGCTCATTAAGCATAGAATAGACCAGTGGCAGTTGTCCTCCTTGGCTTGCTGCATAGAGAATCCTTGATCCTGAAAGTATTCCACAAGAAGTAGTGTCAATTACTGAAGCTGAAATTCCCAGTGAAATGGCCCATTGCATGGAAGGGAGTACTCTGTCCATCCACGTGACAGCAACAGAATCTAAAACATCAAGTAAATGGAAAAAGTCATAGTCGCTTTGGCAGTTTTGCAAATACATATGAAAATACTTCCTTTGTCCTGAATCTATGCCTCTTGTGATAAAAACTGACCACTTCTCACAAGAGAGGAAGTGTCCTTAAGTTCATGACTTGGTTGTGGCTTTTTTCTGTTTTCACTAATAAAATGGAAACTGTTCAGTATGAGTTTTGAGCTACTCTTTAAGAGGTATTGCAAGCTTCTGCATGCTCTCTTGACTGTAACCCAGTCTAGCTTCCATATTAACAAGCTCAGCCTAGGTTATCAGAAGATAAAGCCAAGATAAGCTATGTCGTCTGTGGTAATGTGCAAGTGCATGAAAATGATCACCCTGTAGAAACCTAATTTACCCAGATCTCCTACTGCATTGTGAAATCTTGTATGACACGTGTTAAAGCAGAACTCCTCACATGGAACACTTGGGTAATCATTTTGTGTGGCAGAGAAGCATGGAAATTCCTTTACCTAAAAGCCAGTGATTATTAAAGTGCTCTTCATAGACTTCCTTATATTCTGTAGATGTCTGACATGTTTTTACCCATCCTCTAATTTTTATTTCCTTTGCATTAGCTTAAACTTGCATTATGGTCCCATTGCTTTTCTGATTTTCTGTCTGATTTACTTAACATAAGCCTTTGTGCTAATAAAATTCTTGTGCGTATATCCTTGTTGGGGCATTTGCATCTCAAAAGCTTGAAATAACATTCTTTGGGGACCCAAAAGAACCTGGCAAGCTATATGATAAACACTTTCCGTTTAATACAGGAATCAGCATACTCACAAATGACCCCAGCATCCCAGCTGATTCTATCATATATTGTGAACCTATATATTTCTGGTCTGAAATGTTTTTTTTTTTTCCTTAAGTCTGTATGTTTCTGGAAGTTTGCTAGAAAGTGATGAATGCTAGATATTGTTATAAACAGCTGAGTTAGAAATATTATATGCAGTGAGACAGGGCTAGGTTCTTGAATGAGCCAGTGCAAAAGACCAAGTACCTTGCAGCTCTGGGGGAGACAGGCACCTCCTGCTGTGGGTCAGGCCTCAAGACAGAAGAGCAAACAAATGCACCCATGTCCTACGAACTGATATTCTAAATAGTTCTATATCACCCTGAGGAAGTCAGAAGTCACCATCTATGCACACTATGGGAAGAGTCACAGCTCTCTAAGGATGCCCTCTTTCTACGTGACTTGCTTCCCCATTTGCCCCCATTTAATCACCTTTATGGAAACAATTACTCTTACTGGTTAACTATAATTCTATCCCACCTTATGCCCATCTACCTTGCAGGTTCCCAATTTTTCTCACCTTGAACCTTTCCTACCCCATGATTTTACTCTATAAAAGTTCCTAGAAGAGACAGAGTCTGTGGCAACCCCTCAGGATCCTTTCTGTCTCTCTTTGACAGAAGCTTTCTTTCTTTCAGTAAATATGTCTGCTCTTAACCTCCATTGTTCCTAAAATTCATTTTTAAATTTCAGAGAATGTAAACTCATACAGGACATATAGTAGGTTGGGAGTATTATTCCCCTGTATCAATATAATCACCTGTAGTCTTGTCAAATAAAAATAACAATAGATGGATTTTTCCATAACAATGGACATTGTTTTCTAACTAAGTTGAATGACAGGTTAGAAAGGTGAGACAGTATATTGTATATGTATCAGCATGCTGCAAAATGGTTCAGAAATAGTGTGCATTAGATATAGTTCAAGTGGAAGTAATTGTGTGATATAATTGTGTTTCCTTATTACTTATGAGATCATTCTATTTTTCAATGAGCATGGATGAATTAATAGTTTAATAATTCAATGTCCCTTTCTATACCAATTGCTTAATTATATGTATGTGTTTGCAATATAAAAGGATATCATCATTCCTTCTATAGACAATCAATGTTCTTAAGTTGAAAGAGTTTATAAAAGAGTACTTACTAAGAGCTCATTGGTATTATACTCTAAGTTTATTGACTGTTTTTCATTTCATGGGTTAACTGCATTTCTGAGACCAGTGTTGATAGGGGATGAAGCATTTGGGCTCTAGAGATACTGAAATTGGAATTAATCTTACAGTTACTATGAGGTAGCCTATTATGTCTGGTTGCCGGCCTCCAGGGTTCATGTGGGGGTAAGAGTCAAAGAGTGCAATGGGTGAGGACAGAAAGTTAGGCTCAGAACCTGCTCTGGTCAGCTGAGAAGTGGCCTAAAGGAAAGAAGTGCTAGACTAACAATAGGTTGTTTGCAGCTCTGAGATAGTGAGATTTAGGAAGACAGGTAAGCAAAATAGAAAGCAGTGTTCAAGCAGAAGTGTTCAAGTCAGATAAACTTTTTTTATTCTAAAGTATCTGTAGAGACTGGAATTGAGAGAATCAGAACCTGCCTAATTTAAGGCACTCTTTCAGTAAGTCATTCTAGTGTAAGACAAATTATTTTTTCTTCCCTCATTTTACTAATTGCAAAATTTCCGTTAATGGACTTCAGCATTTCTGTGAAAACAAAATTGCAAATATGCAATAGTAACAACTCTGTTCTCTTTTTTTAAACTTATAATTGTTTATAATCACTATATTTTTATGCCACTTTCAAGCCACCTTTCAACTTTTTGAATTATGGAAATATTACATGCATGTTCACATCCCTCTGTGTTTGTACATGTCTATAATTATATGTGCTTCTTTTAGGTTGTGTTTTACTGGTATATTTTTGCAATTTATGTGGAATACTAAAAAAGTTAATTGTTCTTAGAGCATGAATTTTGTAGATAAGTGCACTTGTTTTTCTGCAGAAGTAAATATGTTTAAACTTTAAAGTTGGGTAGAATTTTTTCTAAATTTTTATTTCTACTTTATTGTTGTAAAGTAACCTGAACATTGAATCTTCACTCATTCATATCTATGTGTTTGTGTCATGATTCTGTCTATAAAAAAATTCTAATTTACTAATTTCTAATTTCTAATTTAATTGTGATAAACTTTAGTAATATGTCTGTGTAGTATTACTGAATTCCTGAGACACTATCTCAGTGATGCTTTGATCTGGTCTTTTTGCAATGCACATTTAGCACAGTGATTGAGAATATGCTTTCAAAATTAGGAATTCTGGTTTGATTCTTGGTTTAGTCCATAGGTATGCAACATCAGCTACCATGCTTTGTGGAATTTTTTGAAAATACGGCATTATAAATTGCAGCACATATTTACAAATTTTCATAATGACGAGATCAACTGACATTTGGTTTTGAAACTTAAATCTGCCTATCTGTAGAAGGATGGCAATGACTGCATCATTTAATACCCTGAATTTCAAATGGATCATCTGAGAAATGACAATAGCGTTGCCTATTTACAACAGATACAATGAGGACAGAAATTTGTGTGTACCCTAAATGATGAAACACCTAACAATTTTATGTAATTGTTTCTGGGTGCTTTTGTTATTCATGTTTCCCTTATCGTTTTCTTCTTGTAACACCCCCTTTAATCGATCTCATTTTCTTTGTTCTACTCTCCTACTCTCTATTTAGACTTGCTATTTAGAGTCTGCTACTCTCAGAATCTAGTATTTTTCAAGCTTAACTTTTGTACATGAGTTAAACATTCTTTCTTGGATTCTTTGTAAATTCAAAAACATGAACACATACAAATATATGACTAGGTGTGCATCAAACTAATCTATTGTACAGTGGTGTAGCTATTTAATTTAAACAGTTAAATGTGACTGTTTTGCACTTTTCACCCACAATCATACCTGAAGAGATGATTTCCTTTGGTGTCAAAACTGTCAGGAAGGATACATTAGTCAACAAGTACATCACAGTCACAATGGACAGAGAAGATATTAAAGATCTGGGAAGTGTCTTGGTAGGGTTTTTTACTTCTCCTAGGGAAGAGAAAAAAACGAATCAGAGCAGGACATATTGTTTACATTTTAAGAGTTCCTTCAACTATAAAGGAGAACAGTATGTTATTCTATTGTCATTGTTCTGTCATGTTTCTGAGCTAATGCTGCTTGGATCCAGGGCACATTTTCTTTTCTTTCTTTTTTTTTTTTAATTTAAGGAGAAAAAGGGAAAAAAAAGCAGAAAAGGGTACAAGTTATACAGAATTTCAGAAAAAAATAAACAGTAGGAAATCACTAGTTAATGGATTACATACTGTCTTCTTAGAAATATTTGTTCAAGTTACAAGATTAATGCATATAAAGTGGACATTCAAAAAGTGAGGCTGCAAACAGTTCTGTTCAATGATCCAGCAAAACTCAGTAATATCATTGTCTATCTTATACACTTAAATTTACATGCAGCTATACCATTTAGAGCACTTTCTTTTCCTCTCTTTTGTACAATGACTATTACACATTTTGGGTTTTATTGCTCCAACAGTTCTTATTACTTTTTCTGGAAGAGAGTAAAACCAAATGTGACTTAACAGAACAGAGTCAGTTAAATCAAAAGAGTGGACATAATAGATAATGTAAAAACATAATACAAGGTGATCAACAATGGTTACTATAATGCCTCCCGCTATCTCAAATACAATTGCCTATATCATCAGTTATAATAAAATTGAACAAAACAATAAAGAACAAAACCAACAAAACCAAAGCATTGAAGACATTACAGGTCTTCAAAAGTAGATAGTAGTCAACCAGTATGGGCGTCATAATGAATCCCACTATCTTCACAGCTGTTGCCTAAACTTTCGAACCTGGTACTATCAAGCAAAACAGAATAGAGGAACATCAGTCAAAACAAGATGGTGAGAGCAATGCAGGGCTTCAAATATCAACGTGGGTTAATATAATATATCCTGCTTTCTAAAATTTATTTTTCCTTTAATTAAAAGGATAAAAATTAAAAAGTAAATAATAAAATGGAGATTGAGATAAAAGAGGGCACAACAACTAAACAGTGGAGATAAAAACATAACCATTTAAGCAAATTAGTGTTTCACCACAAGATAATCCCGACATAAAAGTAATTACCATATTGTCTCTTTCCTTGAGATCTTTGAGTATAACTTCATGTACTATAGCATCAAATATATCAACACAATGTAAAACCATTCAAGAGAATGACAGTATTACAGGTTATTTAGAATCAACTAACAGATAATGAACTATGGTTTCTGTATAATCTCCTTGTCTATAAAAGTTTTTGTTTATACTGTCACATATAATAAAATCAATAAGATACAACATGTTAAGACCTATGGAGACAGAAGAACAAAAGCTTGATGGGACTTCAAAATAAGATGATACCAAATCAGCACTACCTATTATGACATTGTTTTCTCCAAGATAACTGTTCCTATCATCCAATCTTCTCTGCCTCATTTCTCTCTAGCTCTTTTTCTGTCATTAGTTGTCAGTTTGTCTTCTTCATTTTGTTTTCTGTTCCATTCATTGTGGTCTCTCTGCCAGTATTTCTGGATTCTTCGTATTTTTCTTTTTTAGAATATCCTGCAGTATTCTCTGTAGAGTTGAATTGGTGGTTTCATAGTCCCCTAGTTCCTCTTTATCCTGAAAGCACCTTGTTTTTCCATCACTTTCCAGGGATAGTTGTGCAGGATATCTCAATCTTGGCTGGAGATTATTATCTTTCAAAGCTTGAATTATTTTCCCCCACGCTCTTTGTGATTTGATGGTTTGTGCCGAGAAGTCTGCTGTAATTCTGATGGGTGTTCCTTTCTAAGTATTGTGTTTCTTGTCTCTGACAGATTTTAACATTCTGTTCTTATATTGGATTTCTGGAATTTTGATTATTATATGCCTGGGTGTAGCTCTATTTGGGTTGTAGGTAGCTGGAGTCCTGTAGGCCTCATATATCTGAGTATCTTTACCCTTTGCTAAATTAGGGAAATTCTCTTGGATTATTTCTGTGAATAGCTTTTGTAGTCCATTTGTTTGTGTCCCCACTTCTTCTTTTATGTTCTTAATTCTTAAGTTATAGATCCTCTTATCATCTTCTAGTTTTTGTATTGTTGCTGTTTTTTTTTTTTTGTTATTTTTAAGAAGTTTTTCATTTAATGCTCCCATATTACAAATCTGCCCTCCAGTTTAGATAATCTGTCCTTAGTTTCTTTCAAGCTGTTATGCCACTTTTCGATAGTTTTTAGTTTCCTGGTAATCTCTTTGAACCTGCTTTACATATTCTACGTGTTCTCTATTTTCTTCATCAAATAATTCTCCCCTCTTTTTCTGTTCTTCCATTCCACCATCTGCTTTTTCTTGGGTGGTGCTTAGCATTTCTCTGACTATTCTGCTTATGTCTTGCTTCAGGTCATTAATAACTTCATTCCTGAATTCATCTATGAGACTCTGGAGATAGCCTTGTATGTCTATTGGTGGTGTGTCTGCTATTGCCTGTTTCTCAGGATTGGGGGCCGAGGAGCCTTTCTTGTTGCTCCCTCTTCCCATATTCTTTGTTCCTTATATATGCAAGTGTATTTAGGAGGCCCAGCTTCCTTCCCTGTCAGCCACAATCTGACTGAATTGCGCTGGCTAGGTGTTCCCGCCCACTGCAACGCACCAGGGAGTTATGGACTGGGCAGCCTATGCGGGGCCCGCCCTTCCAGGTCAACCTACAGAAAGGCTTCACAGCTGGGGTGCACCTTCAGGTGCTGAGACCTGGGTTGTGCTAGCCAACTGGGTCTCAGCCAGCAGCGTCATGTAAGCTAGGCACTGCTCACCAATCCCGCTTGAGAGGGGAATATGTGACTGAAGTCACTACAGCTCCCTGTTCCAGCAAGTCTTCCCAGTCCCAGAATGTCCTCTGTTGGCGCCTCCTAGACCGTGGGAGAGTCCCAGTTTCCCTCACTCACCGGACGTCGAGGCATGGCTCCCCACTCACCCAGCTCTTAACTGTATTCATCGATTCTAATTCCTATTCTCAGCACTTTTGCACATCTCTCTCCCTGCCAAGCCAATTCAGATGCAGCAGCGGTGGCAGAAAACCCAAATCGTGGCTTTCAATGGCACGGGCTCCAGCTTCCATGCTCAGGCTTTATCTGTTCCTGTTATAGCACCGGGATTGCATTCCCAGTTGGTATCTCTCAGCCCAGTTCATTCTTGGGTCAGCAGGGTATATCTCCTCTTGGTTAGGATTCCTCCCTCTGCACCATTCCTGGATTCTAAGCTGGGTCTCGCAGAGAGCCTGTGTAGCTCTGCTATCTGTCTGCCATGTTCTCTCATCTGACACATTTTCTTTACATTCTTGAAAATATAATTTGTAAAAATAAATTAGGCAAAATTTTAAGTCTCACTAGCATGTCTGGGAGACACATTTGATTCTTCTATTGATAAATGCGTAGGACTTAGATCTTTTGAGGCAGTTGCTTTTGTGTCACTCAGCTCTCCTTTTAATATTGTCAAATGTGCTACAGAATGAATGCATTGATACTTTTGAGACCCAGTATAAATGCTCATAGCAGAAAAAAAACAGAGAAAAAACATAATAGTGCTTCAACATCATCATTCTACAGTTAACGTATTGACACATAAACTTTTTATTTGCCTTACTGTTGGTCAGGGATATCATGGATCAGAGCCATGCTTAAGCATGACAGTTCCTCCTAGGGCCTTGATACACAGGAATCCAAATGTGCACACCTAGTGATTTAGGTTTGCACGGGAAGCACATGTAGTGGGTGTTATGATAGTCAGCTTCATATAATGCAGTGATCCACAGGATCCTGCTCCCATCTCATGTTCTTTCTACTTTCAGGCTTGGTCTATCATGAAATGTTATACCCTCCTTCTCTAATGTTATAACAAGAGGTATGTTAGAAAACTGAAATGAACTATTGATGAATTAGTAGTAGCTCAGTGTTTTCCTTTTGCCAAAACTGAGAAGTGGTTTTGTTAATATCTCTGTAGGAAGAATATCTGTTAAGTTTCATCTCCGAAAGAGACTGTGTTATCAGTTGAGACAGGTTTTTTTTTTTTTTTTTGCATTTTATTAGTACATATTTTCCATACACAAGAAGTATATTAACTGTAGGAGATTGGTGCATCTACATATCATATTCCAATGTCCTTATTTTCCCCTCTTGCTCAACACTATTTGGTTTTACACCACCAAATTCATTTATCTAACTTATGCAAAGTTTATCAACTAATTACATATTGAACGCCAGAAGAAAATGTCAAACAATATGTAAAACAATTTAAATATGTCTATATATCAGTGTAGATACTTTGTACATGTTGGATGGCAATTTCTTCTTTAAATTCATCTTTTTCCTATTACTTGGCATATATATATATATATATATATATATATATATATATATATATGTTTTTTAGAGAAATTATGTGATACCATATTTCTGTACCAGAGTCACTGTGCTCAGTAATACTATGGTTTCAAGTGTCTCCATTTTCCTATAAATGACCCATTTTTTTTTTATGGTAGAGTACTACGGTTTTTATGAATGCCACATTTTTTATGTATTTGTCTATTGATACATTGATAGGATGTTTTCACATTTTAACTGTTATAAATTGAGTGATTTAAATGGGGTATGCATACATCACTGTGCTACAGGGTCTTTATCTGTTTTGGAAAGACACTGAAAAGTAAATACTTGATTCAATTAGAATTTTTATTTTATAGTTAAGGAATTTCCATGTGAGTATTCATAGTGGATGAATCAGTTTACAGTCTCCCTGACAATGAGGAAGTGGTTTTGCTCCTCACAATGTCACCAGTATTTGCTATTGGTTGACTGATGGATGATAACCATTCTAATTAGTAAGATAGAGCCTGTGTTGCTTTAATTTGCATTACATAAATGAACAGTGCTGTTGAACAACTCTCATGTATTTAGTAGCCATTTGTATTTCTTCATCTGAGAATTGTCTGTTATCTTGAGATGTCC